GGTGACCAGTTGCTGTGCCAGGACCCACTGGTGACATGGCTGAGGATCAACTGGCCTCTGGCTGAACTGCTGAGCTGTAAGTCAGCAACCAGCCACCATCCCCAAGGTCTAAATGAGTCAACTACTAAATCACAGGCAAGCCAGCTGAGGGACACTCCGAATTTCTACTGTGCAAATGTTGCTTTCAGGCTGGATGTGGCTGGCCAGGATTGGGATGACCCAGGTTAACCAGTATTCCCTGCTCAGCCTGGAAGGGGCAGATCATTACCCACTGTGCCAATGATGAACACAGCACTGCTGGACCCTGAGGACACCATCCCTGCAGGATGCTGGTTCTGTTCCCTCTGACCTCGCCAGCAGCTTTATAATTTGTCATTTTTCCACCTCAGAAGACTGAATGACTCATTTGACACATGCAAATATCCCGAGTGCAATTAACTGGCTCAGCCTTTGACACGACCCCTTGCAGCCCGGGAGAGCAGAGGAGAGATGTGTCAGAGGGTTCATTCCAGAGCCTTTGGAGACTGCTGAGCACACACAGCCTCCATGGATGCTGGATGGCTCGTTAGTGTCTGGGAAACTCATTAGAGTTTTATGAGTTCTTCTTTGAAGCTTTGGCTTCTCATAGCTTAAGGTCACTACAGCACTGGTCTGTGGTAATTACACCAATGAGAAAGATTTCCTTCCCCTACACTAATTAGCAAGTGGAGAAACTTAAACCAACGTAGAATCCAAAAGATTCTAAGTTGAATTAATTAATTAGTAAAAACCATCTGGGTGATGTAGGTTTTTGTTTTAACTACCTATTTTGCCATCAGTACACAATTTATAGATATTATCTATTTTTTTTCCAAAAGTTTCCCCCCCAGATACTTTTAATCTTCCACCTCTCTGGCATTATATGAGAAAGAGAATAAAGTGAACTAGTCTATGAAAATCTGAAGGATTTATGTGAATTCCTCACTCATGAACCTACAACATCTTTTCTGCCCAGGGAAACACCATTTTCTGAGCGGTGAACTCAGAGGACTGTAATGCCAAAATTACTTTGCTTCTCGCTGTGGACTAAGAGGAAAGCCTTGTGGTGGCTGTTTGCAGGAGTGGGTACCAACATCACCGAAATAATGAGTCTGACCACAGACTGTAGTGGTCAGAGGGATATGTCCCTTCACAGCTCCTCTCTGCCCAGCTTCTGCTCCACACTGTCCTGAGTGACTCAGGACAGCCCTGCTGGGCCTGACTCCCTGGTTGTCCTGGATGTGCAGCACGATGGCACTCAAACCCAATCCTAAACTGATATCCCTACATCCAAGAAACTGCAGAGCAGCACTGCTGACTCCCACAGGGAATAGTCAGGATGAGGCAATGTGTTGTCTTCACTGGGGATTTACTGCAAAGGAGAAGGGTGAAAAGATTTAAATAGTGTCAGAAGGAAGCAATTAGTGTAGATCCAAAGTCAGCTCACACTTGCTCTCCCATGCCAGCTGGCACAGGCCTGATCTGCAACACTCAGCACTGCAAACATTTTCCTGGATGAACTTTTTGGAGTCGTGTTTCAAGGACTGAAGTGTTCATGGGTGTTCATTTCCATAATGACTCACTGAACACAAGAAGCTTTGTTTTCTTCCTACATAGTATGCTGTAAATCAGAAGCGACTTGACCAATTTTCTTTACACACACAGTCAAGAGATACACACACAGGTGGGCATGTATGGACATGTATGCACATGTGAATACATGGGTACATAGACACACACACACATTGTCAGTCCAGGAGATCCACAACCATTTCCTGGCATAGCTGAGACTGTTCCTGCTGATCCAGAAGCTACATCTGAATCATCCCAGATCTGTGCCATGAATGATCATTTTGTTGAAAGGGACTTACGACTTTAAGGAGGCATCACAAAGTAAAGGAGAGAGTTTTCCTTAAAGAGATGTGACTTTATTCATCTTTGCCTTCCTGTCAGGAGAAATAAAAGGAAGAAGCTTCTTTTGAAGAGAGGAGACATCAGCATGTTTCTAAAACCCCTGAGATGCACATGAAAAAAATACACCAGCCAAATCTTGATCATGTTCATACTTTCATAGTTAGTGGAATGACATATAATATCACTACTAGGATGACAGGATAATCTAGATTGTAAGAGACATCCAGTCCAAGCCCCCTACTTGCAGCAGGCTCAGCTACGATCACAGAGAACGTTGCTCAGGGCTTTATCCAGTTGGGTCTTGAAAAATATCTGGAGATGGGAGACCGCACACCCTCACCGGGAAACCTGCCCCACTGCTTGACTGTCTTCCTCAGGAAAACTTTCTTCTTATATCTGATCTGGCCCTTTCTTGTCACAACCTATGCCTGTTGTCCTCCTGCCCCACAGCACTGTGAGGGGCCTGGGTCTGTCACCAACCTTGTAGGTGCTGACAGGCTGTTATTAGGTCCATCCAAAATCTCTTCATTCTGAAACAGCTCCCCCATCACCTCTGCACGTGGCAAGTGCTCCAGGCTGGAGCATTTTGGTGGCCTGTGGCTGACCTTGCTCTGGTTTGTTACTGTCTTCTTGTACTGGGGTCACAGGGAGCTCCTCCCTGTGGAAACCCAGGAACCTTGGCCCAGAAATTACCTGGGCCAGGGCTTCTCTGTGTGCTCTTGTTCTTGTCCTCTTGTCCAGCCAGGGCTTTAGTCTCTGAGCTGGGATGATCCCTCGAGGATGCTTTAGGTTCCCAGGTAGCCATAGGCTTATTGGCACGTGCCAATACAAATTTGGAAATGCATGTCTTCTTGACGTAAGGGTGTGTGGCTCACCTCCAGTTCAGCCACCATCTTCATCAAAGGCTACTCTGGGAGAATGGAAGCTCTTGTTTATCTGTCTTGCTTCCAGGTATTTTTCTCCTGGGATGATTTCCAAACAGCTTAACTCAAATGAATCCATTTCTGAGCAGCCCCATGACTTGATCCCATGCCATGCCTTGGGACAGCATCAGCAGCTGCTTTGGCTGGTGCTTTGTGGAAAGGTGGGCATTTTGTCATCTCAGCTCTGATGTGCTAAATATTGCTGGTGACAGAAGTCAGCTCTCCACCAGTGGAACCAGACAGAGCAGCACAGACAAGAGCATCACCACTACTACCAGGCAAATGAGCTGGGAACTTCTTCCAGACTCCTGTGGGTGAGAACTTACAGAGTGGAAACGGCTGTTTTTATTTTCTTGAATTTCTTTGTACTAATAAAATAAAGAGTGAAACATTTTTATCCTCGAGCCATGTCTAACAGCAGAGAGAGAGTCCTTCAGAGTCTCATTTCTTTGGCCAGTGAAAACCTTACTGGCTTCAGTGCACTTTGCATGGAACTCATTGCTGGAATAAAACCCCCACTGCAGTCCCTCCAAGTGTCCTAGGCTACCTGGATCTCCCTGCACTGTCTGTAGATAATAGAGACCTGTTGGCAGGATCCTGGATTAGCTGACTTGACCCTGTCCAATTCGATTTCTCCCTAGGGAATATCAGAGAAGTAGCTGGGTAAGTGTACAAGTGTACAAGACATTCCTAAGCGACAATTTTCACCTGGAAGAGCTTAGAAAAGGTGGGACGTGTGCACAGGGTATACAGCTGCTTTTCTGGACAGAAAACTAGGAGGCAGCTGGGATTCCTGGGGTATCTGAAATGGTGGTAGAATCATATATTTAGGCAACTGAATCAAGCCCTCAGTGAGGGCAAGAGGTGTATTCCACCAAGCAAGGCCAAAACTCCTCCTGAAGCAGGTGCCTCCTGAGGGCCAGCTAAGAAGTTCTGCAGACTTTACTGCACAATTTCCTTGGGTATGTACTAAGTGTAATGGGACAGCAGCCACCTGATTTACCGAGACCAAATTTAAGTGCCTTCACCTATTTTTTGGTCTTAGATGTTCAGTGGATATTTATTTTAAGTGAAAACAGGGCATTGCAGAAATAGCCCTGAAAACACTGTTACAAAGTCCTGGTGTCCTGGCATGGATATATTCCAGTGGTTTGCTGTGAGGTGAACTCCAAGCTCTAAAGGACCATGTGAAATCAAACCCTGCAGCTAAATTTCTAGTGCCAGAGACATGAGTTCACTTCTTCAGCAGCGGAATTTCTTTTCAGCTCGGGCCTGCTGGATGTCTGGATGTCTGCTGCACTCCTGGTAGTAACAATAACCTGCAATTTCTGACAGGGTCTTCTGCATTGCAAATCCCTCTCTTATCCCAGCATGGCCTAGACCAGAGCAAACACGGAGATAATCTACATAGTTCTGACCTGTAGATATATCTGTCCCTTCAAACAAAAAATGCTGGGGCCGTGCATCCCTATTGTGGTGCATTTGATATATAAAAGCACTGACCTGGTCCTCTTTCATCAGACACTCAAATCTCAAAATCTCAAATCTCCCTCCTCTCTTTGTTATCTCATTGAGGCATAGGCAAATGAGTTAGGAGGGTCAAAAATTACAAACTTTTAATTTTTTAATTTAAATTTGCTGTTCGTGTCCAACAAGCTCCAAGTTGTGACTGAGCTGTTAGGACAGGATGCCTCCATGAGCAGGGGATTAATATCAGTGTCTTCCAAGATATCTTCCAGCCTCTGAAAATTAGACCAATATAAATCTGGAGATTTAAATCGAGCTTGTACTGGAAAGTCCTATAGAACATCTGAAGAAAATTCAGAGTAAGCTTGATAAAAGTAAAAAGATCAAATTACTACACCTCTGGTGAGATACAGGTAATGGGGAATGTATTGAACAACTTGCTTTTTTCTTCCTGCTGTTGCAAAGCCCAATGGAGGGAAGAGGAGCACAGAGGGACAGGGATCCAGTGTAACACCACGAGCTCAGAAGGGAGGCAATTATTCCTGCATTTAAACATCCTCTTGCTCAGATTTTACCATGAGGTGGTTCTTCTTCTTGGCTCCTTATCAAACAGGCTTTCCTTCCCTGATCTTAGATACAAAACCACTGTCAAGACAGGTGTCCTCTTCCTTTCCAGCGTAAAGAAAACGATGCCTGGTTTTATTGAAACCAACCCAGAGTAGTGTTTATTATTGAAAATATACAGTATTTTTGAACATCACATAAAAAGCCTGGTAGATACATTTGCTCTAGTTCAAAATGCTCAGTAGGTATCTTTGTGCAGCATGTAGCACTATCCTCATAATGCAAACATCCTCTTCTCATTACTATTTTTACAGTGCTTCCCTTTTGTATTTTTTAAACCCAGAAAAGACGTTCTGTTTTCCTTCCCCACCCCAGTCCTCTGAGCTGAAAAAAAACCAGAGACTTCCCAAAGGCTACTTACATTGTGCCAAAAGCGTGGGGCTAAGAGGAATAAGGATATTTTGTAGAGCACTTAGAGCTATTGCTGTCCTTTGCAAAATCTGTGTGTGCACAGGACACGGTGCTTGCAAGGCAAAGTGCCCCGTGTTTAACAGTCCAATGATGCCCTGACAACTCCCAGTCTAGCAAAGGGAGGAATGGGGAAAGTAGAGAAATTCGGATTTTTCACACCAGACGCTCTTTTTGTGCTGCCACAAGTTCTCAAACGACAGTTCCGCAGAGAAGAAACTTTTTACAAAGAAACAAGAAAATGGGTGGGCTATTATACACCAAACTGTTGAAACCATTGGGAATCAATGTACAGGGTGAGATGGGCAGTATGTTAAAAACAGTCTTTGTTCACCACAAAAAAAAAAAAAAAAAAAAAAGGGAGAAAAAAATTGATTGTTCCTGCCAGTGTGCTGTTTCAGACTTCGCATTGTGAACTTCCACAAAGTGCAGTCAGGGCTGAACCTGTTTCTTCTTTGAATCTGTTTTACCACCACCGACTCCAAAAGGCTTTTGCCTGGTTGCCTTAAAAAGCAGCATCACGGATACGGGAGATGAGAGTCCACAGGAATATGCCGGGCACCTCACTGAAAGGAGATCAGCGAGGACAAAGGAAGAAAGTTTGCAGAAAGGGGCTTGGGGAGAGTGAAGATCTCCGAAGGCCACCGGGTGGTGCGGGTCTGTGCGGGGCGGGTCACACGGCCGCGGTCTGTTTGATGCTGTGGAAGCTGATCCGTGTGGGAGAGGTGGGGATGGACATGGCACGTGCCACACGCACTCGGAGGGAGTGATGGTCCTGCCAGCGGTGCCACCTCTTCCTGGCAGCGGAACGGACCTGACGGAAGAAAGAGGAAAGAAGGTGAATACTTGGAATGCTCAGGTGCCCTCTGTGAAGGGACGCTGGGCAGCGCCGTGAACCTGAAAAATCCGGTAAAATAAACTGCCCAGAGACTTTTGATCTTTGAGCAGCAAAGGTATTTATTGACAGCGCTGGGAGCAAGCCAGCTACTGCTGGACAAACTTGCTCGAAGGCTTCACACCAAAATCAGCAGTTTTTATACAATTTTCATATATGATTAAGTGCATATTCATGTGATTACAACATCTATCTATACATATTAATAACAGGCGGAGTATAGGTGGAGCTCAGGCGGGGCTTGGGGCAGTGCTTCTCTTGGCCCTCAGTTTTGGTGGAAGATCCATTCTTCCTCCCATGGGTCTGGGGGCTAATTCTCATCTTCCTCGGTTTGACCTCCCTTCTCTTCTATTGTTCTCGACCCGCTCACTGAAGCTTGGAGAAGGCCTTGGCCCCAGGCCTGTCTCTTCTATTTAAATCTCTACTTTATCTTACTACATCTTAATTTATTACCTCTAGGCCTATTCTATGTTTCTTTTACCATTCTTTTAAGTTTTGGTCCAGTAGGTAGGACAGAGCGAGTACAGATCATTTAGATGTTCATAGCTTTTTAGCAGGCCCAAATTTCTCAGTTAACTCTTTTGGGCCTGGCCTCCTGTTTCAGCTGGGACAAACGATGATGTATGCCAGGGCACTGAAACATGCAGGCATTGATTCAGATGCCTAAACAGGGGTGTCTAGTTCATTGATATCCTCTTGGGTACTTCGGGAAAAACATGACTTTCACACATGTCTCATATCTGATGTCTTAAACACCCCAGAGCATTTCAAATGGCAATAAAGGCCTAAACTGAATCAGCGGAATCAAGCCCTTGAGATGGATGCACCCAAAGGATGGTGCACCTAAGGCCTCTCTGAGAGCTGATGGAGGTCTTAGAGAGCACTATCACAGGGGCTACAGCTGCCCCTGCTTCCCTTGTGTCTGAAGAATCTCGGGTGATCTGACTGTGCATTGGTTCTACAGCACAGACACACCTGACCCAGCCCCGTGAGCATCTTGTGCAGGCAGGGCAGAGCTGCTCTGCAGTCAACAGAAGGTCATCCTCAAGCAAGTGCTGACAAATGGGCAAGATTAATCCTCAACTTAAGTGCATATTTTTTTACATGGAGCACAGAGAGAGCCCAGAAACTTTAGCTCGAATATATACACATACAAGCAAGAGAAGAACAGGAAGAAGGAGTCCTAGCCTCAAACACAGCAGGAGGAAAGGCTTGAGGTACTCCTAATTTAGACCACGACCAAATCCCTGGCAGAGAAGACTCAAAGTCATAACCTGGAATGAAACACTTAAACTAATTTCTGAATACTCTTGCTGATCTCTGCTTACTGTAGAGAGGAAAACAATTCAGACCCCTAACCCAGGCAGCTAAGTAAGCCTACAAAATTAGGGGAGATAAATCTGGGCCCAGCTTCTTGGACAGTCAATGAGCCTGATGTACTCATGACACTTGGAAAAGATGTTTACATTCTGCTGCCAACCTGAAATCCAGTGAACTTTCAAAAAAGAGCATTTTTACATACAACCTCTATGTCAAGACAGGACCTCCTTTGCCAAAATCACATTTCTTTAGAAGGTGGGGTTATAAATAATATAATGTAGACATTACATCTCAACTCTTGATCCACAGCTCTGTTCCTGACCAAGAGACAACCAGTCAGTATGTCAAAGGGTATGATTCATCTCCTCCTAAACCAATTGTCCAAAATAGGACAGATATTGTGGTCAGATGAAAAATACGTATATCCTATAATTACTTATAAAATGAGTCTAGACAACTAGCTCGACTTGAGATGTCTAGATTATAAATTCAGCTAAATATAGACAATATTGACATCTAAGCCTGAATATTTTTCAGTCTTTAATGTACTTATCTTCACTGCATCCCTCTAGAGTAAAGGACTGCTCTTAGCCCTGTTTTACCACCAACAGCGTAAGGTTTGGGTATTAATAGCAGTGATGCTGTTGTAGAGGAGACCTTAACCTGGATCAGCTGCCATGGCAACCTTGCAAGGCCTGGGCTGAGCTTGCACAGTCTGTGTGAAAACCATGCTGGGGCAGGTTCTCAGCTATCAGCACCTGAGGGAGGTCAATCAAAGCCATCCTGGGTGTATCTGTCACCACCACTGGGACCGCAGGGGAGATGGAGTCAAAAAGAAAATTGCCCAAAGCTGCACAGCCACTGCTTTTCTCCATTTATTTTAAAGCTTGGGGATTGTCTTCAGGTGCACTGTGAGATCTGCTCAAAAGATGAGGAACACACTCCCCAACCCCACTTCAAACCACACTCAACATGTGTCTAAGGGTGATCAAACATGTTGAAGAGCTCAACTAGCAAAGGTATTTCCTACCCCAAACCACACACTGTCAGTGTCAGGTGTCCTGCATGAACAGGATGAAGGCCTGATGGTTAAAACCTACAAGAGTTCACAAGGAGGACAGAGAAAGGGGGAAACCACACTCCTGCTCTCAGATGGTTTCAATCCTCCCATTGCTAGGTGGGCTTTCAGGGACTTGGACAGACCCATGGTCTGGAGCACTGCTGCTTAGAAACACTGCAGTGCTGTGGTCTGGCACCAGAGAGTCCCCTTTTAACACCAGCTTTGTCCATGAAGACACCCCATTGAGGGTTTGTGAGTACCAGTCTGGAAATATTACCCTCTGTGGTGTCTTGTCAGGGGAATCCTGAACCTGGAAATGTGACTTTTCTGTTAGAACCCTTATAGAAGTCAGGGACTGGGCACATTGGACCCAAGGATTTCTTTCTTTGCTTATTACCTCAACTGTCTGTGACCTGTGCCAGTGCCATGGTCTAGTTGACATGATCATAGGTTGGACTCGATGGTCTCAGAGGTCTTTTCCAACCTAATTGATTCTGTGATTCAAGACAAGTAGGTGCAGATGTTTAGAGTAAGGTGAGGAGAGTGGCCCACTGTTTTTTTTTCTTTTGATTTTGAATCAATGATTTGTTTCAATACAAAATAATAACAAACTTAATAGGGGTCAGACATAACCTAATAAAACAAACAATATGAAGGAATAGGACTGGAGAAAGAAGAGAGAACATCTAATGAAAGAGGAACTAAAATTAAAAGACAGCACTGCCATGAAGAGCATGATCATCACGAATGATTTTGAGATGAGAATGAGAACAGTGTGGTTAAACAACAGTGCAGGGGATTTCTGGAAGAGCCTCTCATTATGAAGTAGTGGCTACAGCATACCCTCACTAGTTTCAGGATGGGGTTTGCTCAGTTTACAAAACGAGTTGAATGAGACACTTAAATGAGACAGGCAGAGTCAGAATGGACTGATTCAGTCACATTGGGCTACAGCAGCAGCCAGCTTGGACTGCTGACCTTCCCTGTCTCATCAAACCTCACTGGATCACTGAACCCTCCTGTGAAAACATGAGCAACAGTGGGAATATGTGTCATGGTGTTGCATTTTCTGGAAGCTCACTATTTGTAAACCTACCGTGGTTCTACCTGGAGGGAAAAGGGATACTTATTTCTGATTCTGGATGTAAGGGAGGATATAATATACACCCAAAGGCAAATCCATGTGCCAGAGAACATGTGAGGGGAGGTTGCACCTCATCTGAAAGACTGATGCCTAGTTTTGGCCAGTTATCACAGAATCCTGGAATGGTTTGGGTTGGAAGGGACCTTAAAGATCATCTAGTTCCAATCCCGTCACAGACAGGGACGACTTCCACTAGACCAGGTTGCTCCAAGCCCCATCCAATTACTGGATCCATTATTTATGTTTCCAATGTAGGCAATGGTGAAAGAGAGACAACCCCATGAGGATATGACTTAGACACGTGGAATTAATTAGTCCTTTTTCTCTCTTGCTCCTCTGGGTAAAAAAACCAGCTTAAATAAATGTTGGGCACCTAAGACAAAGGGCATAAGTAACATGTAAATTGTGAGAGCACTGTCATGGGAAATCACCTCACGAAGAACACGGGACCTGAAATGCAGAGGGATATTGGCTCCTGAATGCTCATTTCTCTCCAAACGTCACCAAATGCTGAGAGAAAGTTTTCCTTCTTAATTCTGGAGTGAAATTTGGTTTTTCTCAGCAACTTGTGTGAACAGATACTTACTCAGCCAGTGAAGCCAGATTAGATTTATCATTTGTGCTTCAAATCAAGCCAGTCAAGTCAAAAAAGAGTCACCTGGAGATGAAGATGTGAGTCTAAACAAGGAGTTGTCCAAATGGCATTTATGATATTGTTTGAGACAGGATAAAAAGTAGTAGCAAAAATTCTGCCTTCTTGTACAGCTGGAGCCATTCCCAATGGACTGGGCACATGGAAATAGACTGCACTTAGAGGGGTGAGGGCAAAGCATTTCTTAATGACAGAATAATTCACTGCAATTGGGATGTGACCAGAGTGCAAGCAGAAAAGGTTAAGCTAAGATTTATGTCTTACAATTGAAGTCAGAATCAAAATGTTAGCTTAACTTTAGGTCAGAAAAGAAAAAGGAAAACTGGCTGTGACTACTATAATTAAAAAAAAAAAAAAAAGGACACCTAAAAAGCTATCACACAGTGGAAGAGTGATAGAAAAAGAGAAAGTAAAATTCAAACGTGGTTGTTAATCTCCGTAAGAGATTAATTCAGTAATTCATTAAGCATTGGTAGAGTCAGGACCATGCCCTAGAGTCAGCATTAGCACATTTATGACCTAAAACTACCAGCACTTGCCTGTAATAGGCCAAAGATGCTACAGACTGCCATCAGTGCTTAGAGCTTAACAAAGGGGCTCTGGAACACAAATTATCAGCCTCACCCCTATGGAACTGTAGTTGCTTGAGAGGACCATGATTATCTGAGGAGAGAGCTCAGGTCTCTGTGCTGATCCCTGATCTGTCTTTTTCTTGCAAATTTTCCTCTTTCAGAATTACCCTT